AGATTATTCTTATCTGCCTCAATTCAACGGTACAAAGCCACGCCCACGCCCACAAAGCTCCTCCCTGGAGCTCAGTCTGCAGCCGAGCTCCCGCCCCACGGAGCACCCTTCCCTCGAGGCGTTGCTGTGAAGACGTGCTTCAGCGGGAAACAGTGGGAGGTTCTTAAAGAGACAGAGGCCAATTTCAAGGCGTTTCGATAGACTGATGCAAAATCAAATTAATTTTTGACATAAACAGTGTCTGTAAATTCCAAAATACCACTCTTTTAAAGGTATTTCAAAAAAAGATAAAAAAAATTAGAGAAATAAAAAGTATCACACTGTAAGGCTGCAAGTTGGATTATCGAAGTGGTCAGCAAGTATTAACAACTAACATGATCTAATTAACACGATTTGCCTCTTGTACTAGTTGTATCAGTTACATATTTGCAGACAAATAAAGAGGAAAAATTGTAAAGGTAGTTTTTTAAAAAAAAATTCTGTTGTGGCCATAAAAAAAGTCTCATAGTTTTCATCACAGCTTCAGAGAGACCAAAGAGTTGCACGTGATTCCGGAGCCACATATTGAAGACCCCTTACCTAAGTTWATCAGTTGTAGATGTACAACTAAATGTGACTCTGCATTAAAATTTGTCTGTTGGTCCAGAAATGGGAAAAYGTGCAAATTTGTACAGTGAGCATGACTCGCCATTTAAGCTATTCAAGACATGATGCAGTTGTCAACAGGGAAGAGTCTGTGCTGTATTTTGTGTAAATAATCTAGATTGTGTAAACTAGATTTATTTTGTCATCTTATTGGTTGCCTGCACTGCTCAGGTTGATTAGCTGATCATAATTCTGATTATCTATGGATCATCTGTAGCAATTTTAGTGGAGTTATGTGTGCTTAAGGATGTTTTTAAGGAGTCATCAAGTATTGGAGGTCATAACTTTAACTCTTATATAAACAGAAACAGGTGCCTCCATCAGTAGGATTAGTACACAGGGTAAACCATGTTTAGGAACATCTAATCTGTGTACAGGGTGTAATGCACCACTTGTTGCCRTTAAGTCTGGTACAAAACCTTGTTCAGGAACAACAACTGTTGCTTTAGAGATATGCGGTCACCTCTCAGAGCAGCTGTGGGTCAGAAATATAATTTTCAGTCCATAAATTCTATGTCTTTGCATTTCCTTATGGATCCTGGCCTGCTTGTTGTAATAAAATAGTTTTTTTTTGTTTTGTTTTTAACTCAAACTTGACCTCACCCCCTCTAGGGCTTCCTGATGTACTGGCATCATGAAAATTTCCATAACACTTCAAACTTCCACACCCTGTTGGTTCTGAAGTGCCATCAGCGACACAGATTTAACAATTTCTCGTCCTCCGTTTCTTTCAAGTTTAATGAAACTCTGGTAGAGTTTGTGGAAGTTGACTGTATTCATAAAAACTAAGTAAAACTTGTACTGAAACTGAAACCAAAACTCACATCTGTTATCCCTGTGTGACTTGTAAATGACTGTCAGCAACTATCACAACAATTTTTTAGCTAAAAAAACCTTTAAAAAAGGTAAAAATAGATACAGGCAAGCAGATTATCRCTCTGCTTCGTCTTCGGTGCCAGGCAATAATTAGGGATTGAGGAGGTACTGGATGTAACATCATAAACCCACTGACATTTCAGGCCCGGATGTACCTGTGTTTTTATCCGATCTATAAACACCATCAGAATCCTCCAATTCGGAGATCTTTTTTTAAATTTTTTTTTATTTTTTGCTTTTTGCTGCTCGGTTTCTATTAAGGAAGGAGTCCTCATTGTTATTCTGGGAGGGATAAGTCACGCCGTGTGCTGGCTCTGCCTGCTGCTGCCGGGGCAGTCACTGTGTCAAAGCATGGGGAGAGTCAGCTGACACCAGAACAAACACCCCAGCACTGCAGAAAGTCTAGACGGCTAACCGGGGAGTTGAAATGCAGTAATAGAGATATGCTACGCTGTCAGTGTCATTTCAAATTAGGAAATGTTTCAGAGTTACAGAAACGTACCCAAAACGAATGTTCAGCATCTGTTTCACTTTGTTGATTTCTGACAAAACAGTCATCATGTTTGGCTAGCTGTTAGCCTAGCCTGAAGGAGGACTTCTGCCCTTTTCTTCATACATTGAATACTAAAAACTGAAAATGAGATGACAGAACTATCCCTTTAAGGATTTTGATCACATTGATTTTTTTTGTATCTGTGTGCTTTAGGTGCCAGAAAAATTTAGATTTCCTGCAGARGAAGGGGGTCGACATGTTGGCTGGCAAGCTCCGAAGACAGGCTGGAAGGCCAATGGGGTGTCAGCTTTATTTGGAGGAAATAAACTCAATGAGCTCACTACAAAAACCAGTGCCGACCCCAACAAGACACCRTCTCTGATGAAAACAACGAGGACAGAGCCCCTCAGCAAGCACTCACCTCTGCATGGTACAACTTCTACTGATTCCAGCGACCAACAAACTCCGCTGCGGGGGACAAGGGCCGCAGACGCAAACAAGTCACACACTCCTTCRCAAAGAAGAAGCACTGCTCAGCCTATGAAAGCAACAGCTTTCTATGGACCGAGCGACAGTTCCGAATCTTCACAAGCAAACTCGACCACTCTCATCCCTCAGAACAAAGCTGGCATCGCCTCCATCACCATCACCTCTAGAAAAGTGAACAGATCAGCCAGTTTACCTGGATCCAACTCATCCAGCAAATCTCCTTCTCCCCCACTAGACCACCAACCCGTTGACCCAAACTCCACACAGKTTAGAGTGCAAAGGAAAGCCATGATAGTCAAGGTGACAGAGAAAAGAGTGATAGCGAGCACCGGTGCAAGCGCTAGTCGGCCCGGGACACCGCCAGCTAACCCCGATTTGGACACGGTGGTCCGCAGACGAAAGGCTACCATCATCAAAGTAACAGAGCATAAAGAAAGTTACAGTCCTGCCAAGATCGCAATCAGGAATCCAGAGTACAGACACAGCTTTACTGAGGGACTGCRTCCGGACATCAGTACATGGAATCAGRAAAACGGTTCMGAAGACAATACAACCYTTCCAAATCATCGTTTGAACTCCGCACCAAATACAATCACACCCAACGCGCAAACAAACGGTATGCACAGATCCTCTTTGAATCTTTTTGTGAGCAATCCCCCTGCCCCAACACCCACTTCCTCTGAGCCGTCCACAAAGGCTGTCGGACAGAGATGGGACAGGCGGCAGAGACCCCTGAGCTGCTATGGAAGTTTGACAGGACACGTCGAGACGATCGGGGAGAACKCTGCACAAACAGCTGCCAAAAAATGGAGCTTTGAGGTTCCACAAGAGACCCGCATTAACCCTGTGAACTTCAACAGTGGTTTCATCAGCCCTGGAAAAGCAGCGAAAGAAGCAGGTCAGCCAGCGGCAYACGCCCTCAGCCCGAGYRGAGACGAAAAGGAGAGAAGGCCCTCATCAGTGGACAGAATGAGGAGAGCCTCCGCAAGTCTAACACTCATCAAGGCCCCGGGTAAGCTTCTCCGTCCCACTTTGACMGTCTTGTTGTCAACAAACAGGCTCCATCTGTCTCTGATCTCTATTTTTAAAGGATTGCAGCGCCTAAATATACAGCGCCTTTGTACCCTTTGTGCCTTCTGGCTTGAAGTTATTATGCACCATTGTAGGTTTCATATGGTCTTCCAGCTTTGAAGTTTTACTGGCAAGCGTCATTATACCTTTATTTGTTGCAGAAAGTGCACTTTCACACCTTTGTGCCACATATGTGTGCCAGAGTCAGGTGACATTGGTGTGAAAAGGTCCCACAGCAGTCAGACAGGCTTTCTCATTTTCACCTCTGTTCGTTTGTCCCACACATCYGTTTGCATACATAATTCATTGCAGTCTCAAATTTAACTTTCAGAACTGGGAAGATAAATTACTATTTGAAATATGTGATAAAAAATAAAATATTGGAGTGAGTYAGCAATTTTATAACAAAAACTGTTTGTTTATGGTTTTTTAGGGGTGGCAGGAACGGGAGTCAGTGATCATTTAGGGCCAAGATTCAGTTTTCATTATTTCCCACTTCCAAAAATGCTAATGTTTTTGTAATGTTTTTTTCTGTGCATGCATTTGTTTGTCTGTAGCGTTAGCAAAATATTTCATACACCACTGGATGGATTTGTATGGGGTTCCGTTTGAAAAGTTACACAGTCAAAAATTACCACCAATATTTTTGTTTCATTTAGCTTTTTATAAGAAAAAAAGAACCAATTTATTTTTCAAAGTCAGTTTTTCACCATATGATTCATGCATTTATAAATGTCATAGTTTATAAACTAAATATTTAACTTGCAAATTAAATATTTAGTTAACAAGCTAAAAATTTAACTTGAGACTTTAAAATTTAGTTTTGATCTAAATGTTTAGCTTGCAACTTCAATATTTAGCTAGCTACCTAAATATTTAACTTGCTAGCTAAATATTAGGTAGCTAGTAAAATTTTTAAGTTAAATATTTAAGTTGCTAGCTAAATATTTAAGTTGCTAGCTAAATATTTAAGTCACAACCTAAATATTTAGGTATCTAGCTAAATATTTCAGTTAAATATTTAAGTGGCAAGCTAAATATTTAATTTGCTAGCTAAATATTTAAGTTGCAACCTAAATATTTAGGTGGCTAGCTAAATATTGAGGTTGCAAGCTAAACATTCATCTCAAAACTAAATATTTAAGTCACAAGTTAAATATTTAGCTNCCTAAATATTTAGGTGGCTAGCTAAATATTGAGGTTGCAAGCTAAACATTCATCTCAAAACTAAATATTTAAGTCACAAGTTAAATATTTAGCTTATAAACTATGACATTTATAAATGTATGAATCATATGGTGAAAAACTGACTTTGAAAAATAAATCTGTTCTTTTTTTCTTATAAAAGGCAAAATAAAACAAAAATATTGGTGGTAATTTTTGACTGTGTAACTTTACAAACGGCACCCCATAGATTTGGATGCATCTCTGAGAAATTAATGTTTGGACATGCATCTAGAAGTGACTAATATTACAAGAAATGTTAGTTTATGGATTCTGAATTCAGGTGCTGGATGTTTCAGTCACTCAAGCCAGCAGCGGGGSTGAAGAGGTTATGAATGGAGAGGGATATTATCCAACCCTCAGCAGCTGCACGTGACTCATTGCAGTGATATCACCGAGGCAGTGCCAGTTTTCTTCCTTCAAAACAGCCCCTCGGAGCTGTTCCAGCTTCATGTGCCCACACTTGATATGATTTATTGATGACTTTGATGCTTTGTGTGAGCTGCTGCTCTGCTGGCTGTCGGAGCAGAGAACAGGGGGATCTTTAGAGACTAAAAGGAGAACATGTAAAAGGTTTGTGCTGTAGCTGCTGGGAAGGTAAACCTCCAGTTCTCTTGGAAGGATGTGAATGAGCTCGTCCGAATTTGTGAGAGRCAGATCTGAGGTCTGTGAGCCTGAGATTAAATATAATCAAAATTGTTCTTGTGGAACTGTTTTGAAAGCGGGATCTGAAGCAAATTTAGTCATTTAGAATAAAATAAGAATGTTTGTATGCAAGTTATTTTGTGTTGATTGACATGTGTTTTTTATGTTTTTGTCCATATGCTTTGCATTCCTAAGTTTGGCTTCTTGTTTTATTTTTTCAAAAGTTTGTCTTCTTGTTCCTTTTATTAACTTAACCTGTCTCTGATTTTCACCTGATTCTAAATTCTCAATCATCACACCTGCTTTAAGTCTGCATTTACGTGCACCCCCCCCCCCCCAAAAAAAAAAAAAAACCCAGATGTGTTGGATTTACTAACACATCTGTTTTTGAGTGTATTTTGACTTATCTACTTACATTTGGTCTTTTGAACTTATTTTACCTTTTTTTAAGTTTCTCCAAATTCCCTGCATTACCACTTGTTGCATCCATTTAGTTCCTTTGTTTAAGATTTGTGCAAAAAAAAATCAGTTTTTTTCTCCTTCTTGACTCCAGTTTATTTGCTATTTGGCTGCAGCTTTATTCTCATAATAAAAAAAATAACAATGACATTTCATAGAATTTCATAGAATAGAATAGATTTCAACTTTATTGTCATTGCACATGTCACAACTACAAAACAACGAAATGCAGTTTGYATCCATCCAGAAGTGCTTAGCAAGTAATATATATGTATCAAATTCACAGTAAATTGTGTGACTATGTTGTAACTGTAAGTATAGTAAAGACAGGTTTTGCATGCACCGATTTTACAGGTTATGAATATGAAGGCGTTATAAATAGACTACTTGTAAACATGAGTAAATTATCTACACTAGTGGTTCCCAAACCTTTTATCTTCTGACCCACAAAATATCCATGGCAAAAACTTGTGACCCCAAAAATTACTGGTCTGAGTACACAACCTTCATTAATAACCCTAAAAACACAGGCTTTTTGACAATCTAAACAGCTTGTACACAAATATAAATACTTACTTACACTCATGTTTGTGTTTTTGTAATAATTAGAGGGAAAATATTACATCAGCAATTATTTTATTACCCTTTAAATTGATTTCTGGAGATTATCCAAGGTGCTTCATGACCCATAATTGGGTCCCAAGCTCAACTTTGGGAACCAAAGTGCAGTGGTTCCCAAACTTTTCAGCTTTTGACCTACAAAGTAACAGTAGCAGAGACCTGTGCCCCCAGCTATTTATGGAGGATAAACATTTGTATCAGGTCAACAAAACATGGGCATAGTAACAATATTTTTATACTACATTTATCCATTTTAAATACACTAACCTCACTTCTTTGTAACAACTAAGCCAAAAATGTAATTAATTCAGAAAATCTTTTCAGGACCCCACCTTGATGTTTCVGGACCCCACTTTGGGTCCCGACCCCAACTTTGGGAAACACTGATCTACACAGTATTTACAGTAGTGAAGGTATTCATGTCTGTCACATTACATGCTGATGATTTAAAACAAACATCAGTTAGTGCTCAGAGTATGTATTTAGGATAACTCTCAGCCACGACCACACCAAACATTAGCTCAATATCTGTAAAACTGACTGAGTTATAGTCATTTTTGTGTTGGGTAGAATTAATTAGCTGTGACAGCTACCTTGAATCGAGATGACTTTAAAGGCTAAAAAGTTGTAGTTGTACATTCAGTGATATTTTTCTGCAAGTTTCATTAAAATCTGTCTTGTGGTTCATGAAATATTTTGCTAACAGACAAGCAAGGTTGACAGTGACTGCTAATGCCAACATTTTAACCTATAAATTAGCACTTATTGTATTTTTCAGGGTCAACTCTCAGCTTCCTTCATGCCAAATTTTAACTCAAAATCTGTCAAATCAATTGAGTTTTATCTGTTTTTGTGATTGCAAAGCTTTATTAGCTGTGGCGGCCATCTTGCATTGTCTCAACTCCAAAAGGTAATCAGCTGTARACGTATGTGCGGTGATAATTTTCTGAGAGCTTCATTAAAATTTATCCACTGGTTCTTGAGATATTTTGCTAACAGACAAACACTTGTGCATATACACTGGCAGCTTCATTAWTGCCTGCCTTCCATAGGCAGAAACTGCAGCAATGCTGCTAACATAACTAAAATGTTTGAAAAGTAAGCAATTTTCTGCTGAGTAAGCGTGCCTCTTCATCTATTATCTCCTTTCTCTGCGTGAAATTATTAATTACTCTGTAATCACATTCATTAGGAGCGTCATCAATTAATTATAAGGCCAGAAGCGTTTGGTTCAGTCAGCCACAGAACCAACGGGGATGCCAAACTGTTGCGAAACGGGCCCGTTTGTGTGGCGCTGCAGTCAAATGAAAGCTCGCAGCTTGGCTCGCTCCTCGGTTACATCAAAGCCCTCCTGCCTTTCAGATCCCCATCAGTCTCAAGAGGAAGTGCTTGCCCTCAATGCAGCGGCGATCATAGCAAAYATCAAACTCCAGAGACAACTCAGCAAGAAGAAAGCGCCGAGCAGCCATCCTGAGGAGGACGCCGCAGCCTCGCCCCTGGGAAATACGGGTACCGTTACACACCTCTGTTGTTAGAAACGAGCAGAAAATATTTAAACTCGTAACTCCTCGCCTCATAAATGATTCATCCCTGTTACAGATTGCAGAGATTTGTTGCTGCTTCAGTAATTCATTCTTCTTCCTTTTTTTTATTTATGTTTTCTTATGAGGGTCGACTTGGATTGAATTTGTAACGTTAAAGTGAAATCCTGCAGCTAAAACAAAAGAATTTGTCGCAGCATGACCAGGGAGCTGTTGTTCACTTTTACCCGGGCATGAGAAGCTGTGCAGGGTGTAAAATGAAATGCAAAAACTGATTTATTTATTTAATTTTTTTTTGGTCCTTTGCAGTGACGGATGAGAGGAAACACTTCAAGTCCGGCTCTGATCAAGGCAARAGCCACAATCAGAAAGAGCCTGACGCTGCAGAGCCTGAAACTATTTCTCTCCAGGTACGTTCAAAGGTCTTTTTATAGGTTAATAAAAAAATATATATTGTTGTCTTTGTTGGAATATATACTGTTCGTACAAATATATTAGCTTCCTGTTTGAGCTTCCCAAATGTTTTAGGTTCAGCTTCTCTACAAYTCGTGGTAATTAATTTATAAGCAGTAGAGCTTTTGTAGCATCTTTCGTCATTAATTTAAATCTGTACAGCTGCTCTACAACTTGTGATTTATTTGAGGCAGCACAGCTTTCCCCCACATTTACGGTATTTCATTTTAGGTGGCACTGTTTTTTTTTTTTTTTTTAGCATTTACGGTAATTCCCATATTTGGCTGGGGTGTCCCTCTGCTTCTTTCTGCAGAGAGAAGCTGTCGGCCTTCGGAGAGGCACTGGCCTGAAAAACCAATGTGGTGAGAGGCGAAAACTGGCTTTGCTGTCACAAAAAAAAAAAAAACCATTTCTACAGAATATTACAGAATTTGGAACTCACTGAACTTTAAATAGCGACCGCTACTTTAAACTGAGGCAACATAAATGTTTCTTGTTGTGGAAATCTGAGAACTCAGCTAAAAGTAAATGATAAACCTTGAGAAGGTAAAGCTGACTTCTTTCATATTAAAGTAAGAAAAGTTGGAAACTCTCAGTCACTGAACTTCCATTAAAAGGGGACAGATCATGTAAAATCCACTCTTTTTATTAAATGCATTTTGTTGTGTTTTGGAGTCTCTAGCAGTGCAGAAATTTAAAATTTAKTCTCTCCTGGTGCTTCTTAGATATCTTTATATTCTGTTTGGGTCATKTTTATCARCYCRTTCAGTTTTCTCTGATGTTTTCTGAATTATTGCGTCACAGTATTTGTGTTTGAACTGCTAAATAAGATCTGGACTCACCAACTACWATCTGATGGTYTTCATTCTCCTCTGGTTCTGGGTCAGACTCTGGYTCCAACATGTAAGACTGGATGGACAAGTCTTCTGTTGTGGMCATCTTTTAGTTCATTAAAAAAAAAAATCTGCGCAGCTGTATACCCTGTAAATCCCTCTATGAAACTATAATGGACCAGTCTGGAAGCTGGGAGGGGTTTAGCTTTAAAGAGACAGCCTCAAAACGAGTTGATCTGAGACACACATCGGAGAAGGGGGTGAAAGGGGGGCYTTTTGAGTTACAATTAGGATGAATTCAGACCAAAGATTTGCAGTTTCATTTTATATAGACCCCAATTGAATGATTAATGTGGAAAAAAAAGGTTTTAAAAGCAGAATGTGTCTCCTTTAAAAACAAGCWAACAGAAAAACACATCAATTTTTWAATTTTTTCACAGCGGGCGCTGCAGATGACCCGACCAGACTTTATTCGTCGCTCCCTGAGCAGGGTGCKGGAGCTGGAACGGAGGAGGCAGGAGAGGAGGGAAAGGCGGTGGGGTTCRGGGGCTGGACAGAGGAAGGCCCACAGCACAAAGTCCACCTCTGTGAATGGTAAATGCTCCAGCAGCCACTCTGCCGCCCATTGTCCTTGTGCAGCTGCAGTGGCCGTTTGCCACATCACTAATCACAAATATGCAGATTCAGAACAAAGAGCAAAGATCCGGGCTCTCTCCCTGTCTCCGTTTTATCTGCACTCATAAAGATCCTGGCTTAAATTAATCCCAGTGGCTGATTAGAAGCTCTATAAATCTACCTTTTTTTTTTGACGTTTTCCTTAACTGCATCTTGAACTGACTGCAGCAGACTCCAAATTTGAATAAGTTATAGAGGAACATCCACGGATTACTTTTCTTTTGGATCCATTTATTGGTTCGTGACATATTTTGATGAACACAGACATAAATGTGCTCCGTCACATCGAGCCAAGGATTAAATCCTGAAGTGGTGCGTGGAGGAAAAGATAGATATAGTGTTTTGATTAAAACGTTGCAATAATTGCATTTTAATTGCAATGAATAAACGCCGTTTCAGTGCATCATATGAATTTATGTCTGAAATATAATCCAGAATAATTTTTACGAAACGCTTTTTTGAGCAACAAAAGCACGATTTTGAGCAAAACAACAAACAAAAACACTCCTATAATAGTTTCATATTTTCCCTGCAAGCTAAAGTCTTTTTTTACTTTACAGCTGGTAAATCTCAATATCCAATATTATTTGAGTTTTAAAACGTAAAAAATCCTTCATTAGAAAAACCTAAAAGTAGGATTCAGACCAAAACCGTGTTGTCATGATTAACAAGACAAATCAAGCCACAGCTTTGGGACCACTCRTGATATCAGGATGGTCAAAATGTAGCTTATAAAGCAGGAATCTGAAAATGTCTTTTTGACCTAATCTGACAGTTTGATGTGATGGGTCATAAATGAACAAAACTGAGATTTGAATCTAATGGTTTTAAATGATCCATGCCTCTTCCTGTTGTTTATCAAGAAAAACATTTAAAAAAAGGATTTGAACAAACACAATCCTGGAATTCACAGTAAATAATCTGAAACATAAACATTTTATAGGCCTTTCTGCCCTCTTCTGGTCATGACTAAGACATGGCAGTGCTTCTCTGACAGCTGGGGGGGGAAACTACACAAAAAACGATTCAAGGTTGTTTTTTTAAATAAGATGAGAGAAACTGATTTTATGACCTGATTTGAAATAAACTCTCTGATGATCTCAATCCGAAGCGATCGACAGTCACACTATTAACTCGAACATCCTTCTGTGTCTGCGTTTGTGTGTGTGTGTGTGTGTGCGTGTGTGTACACGCCCCCTGCTTCCAGGTAACCTTCTCCCACCCAGAGAAAGAGAGTGGGGGGGTTTCTCAGAAAGGAATGTGACAGCGAGCGTCTGAATCCAACTCCACGTCTCGCCTCTGCGAGGGCCGAGCCTCCGTCAGCGACAGCCCAGCACCGAGTGTTGCTGCTCCCCTTCTGCTCCGGATTAAAACTGCTTTGTTCTTTCTTGCTTCCGTGACTCATTGCTTTGTCATCCGGCTCGATCCACGCTAATTTGTGATTCTGAGGAAATTCCAGGCTGAGGTGGGGAAATCGTACCTGACAATTAAAACATGAAAAGCTGGGAACAAAGTTTTTTGGACACGCTTTAATGATCAGTTTGTTCTTTCGCAGACAAACAGCTTGGTTAGTGAATATCTTGTTTTTATGATTAAGATRTAACCTTTATTTTGCAAATATGACATTTTAGCTTTATATGTAAAATTTTCCATCTAGGTTATCATTTATTCAAAAGGTAAATAAAGGACGCTTAACATTTCTGCTCTTATACGAAAGTCATCGAGGTTTGGTGGGTTTTTCGTGTTTACAGACAACGCTGTGATCTGCAGTGAGGGTAGGGAGCAGGTGGAAGAGAGTCTGGAGAGGCAGTGGAATGACAGCCAGAATATGAATTTCCTTAAACAAAACACTTTTTAAACTTTAGAGAGCTGCTGAATTATTTCATACATATCCTGATGCATCTCAGTAATCCAGGTAAAAAATCAAAAAGAAAAAAAAATTGTATAGGTCTTCTGGACGGGT